AATCAATCAATCAATCAATCAATCAATCAATTGAATGCCTCCAGCGTTGAGGCGCTCCCCACCCTCATTCTTGTTGAGCCCCTGTGCCCGACAGTCTCCTGCCAATGCAAGAGGATGTGGTTTCCCCGTTGATGGACATAACTGTGACACACTGAAATCTGAGGGAGAGTTTTAATAAGCTTTCTTAACCTCTCTTTTAATCCCCAGGATAATCCGGTTCATGATGCTGCATGTGAAATATCTGTACGGGATCAAGATCGACGTGCGGGGAACGGAGAACTTTAATATCAAGGAGCCTTACGTGGTCGTGTCCAACCATCAGAGCTCACTCGACTTGCTGGGTATGGCGGGAAAAAGGGGACCGGGAAGGGCAGGAACAGAACCCTTTGCATTACTATCTCTGTATCAATGTTTTTTTGTGGGAAAACTGTGTGGTTTGGGGTTGGTTTGTTTCTTTTTTAAACCATCCTACTCAGTTATAGAGGTGTCGTGCCATTGAAGGAGCCGGTTGATTGTATGTGTTTGGAGTTGTATAGATTTTTTTTAAAAGTCACATCATTTTAAGAGATAATCCGGTCCGGTGATTCCTCGGACTACGACTCCCAGAAATCTTGGCCAGCACAGCTAGTGATGAAGGCTTCTGGGAGCTTTAGTCCAAGAACATCTGGGTGATCTAGTCCACCTCCTGCAAGGAAATCTATAGGTGAAAGGATTCCTGACAGATGGAATTAGCTGCAATCTACATTTATTTTAATTAGTTAAATTGCATGGGAGAAAAATAATGCTGGAAATGGAGAAACGTTTTCTTTTTTTTTTTAATATTTTTTTAACTTTGTCCTTAGCCAGAATAAAAACTCTGTCCCCCAAACCCCATCATTTCTCAGCCAGCATGGCTGCATTGAGTGGGGCATATGGGAGTTGTAGTCTGACCTTTCTGAAAGTTGTCAGGATGGTAAAGGCTGGTGTAGTTTATGAGTGCTCAGAGGTTTGAATGAATCATACCAGGCATCATTTCCAAACCAACATTTGTTCCTATGTGTGTGTGTGTGTGTGTGTGTGTGTGTGTGCGTGTGCACGCGCACACATGTGCAAGTCTTCCTACCACTCTAGCAGACTCCCCTTAGTGTGCCCAGTTACACAACCAGTGCAAGACTGGACACGCGAGGAGAAACCTGCCAGGGCAGCTGTTGTGCTTACAGAACTGCCCTTATGTTCCACATTCGCTGCCTCAAATATCAGCCAAGACTCATTAAAATAACAACAACAACAACAACAACAACAACAACAACAACAACAACAACGATGATGATGATGATGATGATCATGATGATGATGATGATGACGACCTGCTTCTTGATTAATTAGACATACTGGATCAAGTAAACATTGTAGCCTTGTAGCTTATATATGTCAGTTACAAATACTGTAGTTGGGAACCACAAATTTAACTAATTAAAATTGTATTTTTAGTTTTTAACTAACCATCAGCCATCTATCAGGGGTGTTTTCTCTATGAACTTCCTGTTTCGGCAGGAGATGGACTTAGGTGACCCTCACTGTCTCCTCCCAGATTTACAGTGGTATGATTTTTTTTAAAACTACGCAACTCAAAACTCGTACAATCAATTGGCTTCTTTAAACAGAATGGCAACTCTGTTGCTGAATATTACAGTTTAAAAAAAAAACTCAGAACTATACGGTTTCCCCATAAACACACAAAGGTAGTTATGTATGTAGCTAGCTGTATAATTCACTGTGTTGGATATCTGGCTGCAGCGCCAGAGTTTGGGAGTTCGATACCCCGCTGGGCATCCCAGGAGAGCTAGCCTGGGTATGGGCAAGTAACGGTTTTCTAGCTTGATGGGGGCAAAGTTGGTGGGTCCCCAAAACTTCGAATGCAACAAGGAATGTAGATGGAGAATGGGCTGTAAGGTGAGTGTTTGGAACAGCACATCCTCTGGGAGGTAGGAAGAAGCTTAGCGTGCAAGTTTAGCGTGTATGCATTTGCAAGAGTTTTCTTTTAGTCTGCCCTGGCCATGGTCAATGTTTTTCCAAACACAAGTCGGAGAACATGATTCCATAGTTGCTTATTTAAAACATTTTCCTCCCTGTTTTCAACTAGAAGGGCACACAAAGTTATTTACAGAAATTTGGTAATAATAGGATGATTCCGGCCTGTGAGTTAACCATTGGAGGACTCGGCATACAAGGAAAAAAGGATGAGGAGGGAAGCAGAAAACAGGAGTGACTTCAGGTACCAGTTTTTTAAATGGAAAGAGTAGGTTCGAAAGAGGCAGTAGAAAAAGTCGAAGAATTGAGGACGAAGAGGACACAGAACCTCAGGCCCCGATTTCACCAAGTGCAAGAGTCTTGTCTTCTAATGACTGGCTGATAATTTTTAAGGGTCTTTTTTTAAGGAGAAAGGCAGGGTAAAAATGTTTTGCGGTCCTCCCTTGATGACTCTCTTGGCCCAAAGGGTCCGTGGGTGACCTAGCCGTCTCCCTCTTTTCTTTCTTTCTCCCTCCGAAGGGCTGATGGAGGTGCTGCCAGACCGATGTGTGCCCATCGCCAAGAAGGAGCTGATGTACATGGGCACGGTGGGATTGGCCTGTTGGCTCGGGGGCATCATCTTTATCAACCGCAAAAAGACCGACGACGCCATCAGCGTCATGTCCGAGGCTGCCCAAACGATGCTGAGCGAGAACGTGAGTCCCACGGGTGGGGCAGACGTGGGAGTGGTGTGGGGGGGTAGAGGGTGGGCAGGAAGAAACGGAGGGGTGGAGTTACCGTTGGCATTCATATCTTGCTTCTCCTTTAACGACAGCCCTGTGAGGTGGGTCACGCTGAAATGGCCCAGAGCGTGGCATGGCTGAGTGAAAGATTGAACTCGGGGCCCCACAGCAGTCTTAAATTGCACTCGCTCTGTGCCTGTGTAAATGGCCGGCCAGCCGTATACAGTCTGCTCTTTTATCCGGGGCTGGGAGCGTAGATTTTGTTTTGTTTTGGACTACCCTTCCAGAAGTTAGCAATTTTTAAAATGTCTGTGGCTGTGATTTTCAGAAACCCCTAGCCTTGCCGAGTCACTGGGAAATAAATGTTTATATTTATATTTTGTTGTTTGCCTGATGTGGGGAATTCTGGGTTTTTCAAAATCAGCACTTTCCCTCAGGTTTTGTGATGGTGTTGGTTTTATTCCCATTGTCAGGAGTTGTGATGCCGCCTGTATTAGTCAGCACCCTTCCCTTTCATGACAGAAGACGTCGGCTGACAGAGGTCTTGTGACTAAGGGGGGTGATGATGAGCAGGAGGCAGGACCAACCCTGCTCTCTCCCCCCCACACACACACCTTTGCCACAAAGCAGGGTTTGGCTTTCCCTCGGCAAGCTGTGTTGGCCGATATTCTGATTATGTTTGTGTGAGAGGGGAAGATGGGAACAGTTTCAAATCAGCCACACTGACTCTTTACCTCCGGAACAGCTTTTGTGCCCCTGACTGTATCAAATAGTGATAAATGCCTCTAGCTCAGTGGTTTAAAGCAGTGGACCCCGACCTTTTCCCAACTGCGGACCGGTTGGGTGTGTGTGGTACGCTTGTAGGGGGCGGAACTTGCGTGTGCGCATAGACACATCGCACTTGGGGGCACTCGCGCACATGCACATGTGTGCGCTGACAGCGGTGGAACACACTCGTGCTCATGCGCATGATGGCACTTGCGGGGGTTGCCCTGCACGCATGCACACAGCGCAAGTTAAGGGGCGGAACACACTCATGTGCATGCGCGCAACTGCGTTTCGTGGGGGGTAGGAAATCTGTGTCCGTGGCCCGGTCTTGGATAGGTCGTGGACCGCTGCCAGGTCTCAGACCGGGGGTTGGGGACCTCTGGTTTTAAAGTACCTGGTTGTGGAGCCAGAGGTTGGGGGTTCGATTCCCCCACTGTGCCTCCCTGACAGGGGCTGGGCTTCGTGGTCCTTCCAGCTCTGCAGTTCTAAGATGATGATGATGATGATGATCTGCTGTTAGGCCAGTCCTTTCTTTGGGTCCTGGGTGGGAGAGTGATGATGGCCTGCCAACGGGGGGGGGGCTTGCACCACTGTCCACTCCACAGACCCATAGATTTCTGAAGGGAAAACCTCACTCCTTTCCCCCCTTGCAGGTCCGGCTCTGGGTCTTCCCCGAGGGGACCAGGAACCACAGCGGCTCCATGTTGCCCTTCAAACGGGGTGCCTTCCATTTGGCGGTGCAAGCCCAGGTAAGTGACGTGGGCAGTGCTGGGAAGAGGGCGCTTTCTTTGGACTACATTTCCCAGAATCCCTCCATCCAGTGTTTCTGGTTGGAGGGATTCTGGGAAATGTAGTCCAAAGAAGCAGGTCATGTTTCCGAGCTTTGGAGAGTGAGTGGCTGCTCTTTTTTACTTTTCCTTCTTCCTGCCTCTTCAGAGAGAGGTGACTCTGTGAAGGCTGTTAAACCATAACTCCCAGCATCCTTTCCCACTGACTAGGGATGGTGGGAGTTGTAGTCCAAACACTTTTTTGGAGCAGGCACACCTTCCTCTCCTCAGGAAGCATCTCTCCGTTCCACAGAATGAACCTGGAAGTTCAGAATGTTGGAATGTTAAAAAGGTTTATTAACTACAGACTTTAGTGTTTCAGCAGCAAAGGTCAAAACGTAGCAATTGAGTGGAAAAAGAAAGAAGGTTGTTTGTCTTACATATTCCAGGCAAGTTTCTTTAGCTTTGTTGAATATTTCTAAACTGGGTATACCACCCCCTAAAGCTGGATGGCATGGATGCAAGTGTGGATGGAGAGAGAGAGAGAGTGCCATCAGAGAGCAAGTGGCTCAGGCAACCTCCATCTTGGAAAAGGGCCTTTCTTCAAGGAAGAAGGAACACAAGAGAGAAGAGAGACAGGGAGTGACCAGTGCACAATAGCGACTGAATGTCGAACACGACTGGACAAAAATTGTCAAGGGGAACCTTTACCTTTAGTGTTTCAGTAGCAAAGGTCAAAATGTAGCAATTGAGTGGAAAAAGAAAGAAGGTTGTTTGTCTTACATATTCCAGGCAAGTTTCTTTAGCTTTGTTGAATATTTCTAAGCTGGGTAAACCACCCCCTAAAGCTGGATGGCATGGATGCAAGTGTGGATGGAGAGAGAGAGAGAGAGAGCGAGCCATCAGAGAGCAAGTGGCTCAGGCAACCTCCATCTTGGAAAAGGGCCTTTCTTCAAGGAAGAAGGAACACAAGAGAGAAGAGAGACAGGGAGTGACCAGTGCACAATAGCGACTGAATAGCAGGGTAGAACTGAGTGATTGGCAGAATCAGCCACTGCATACTGGGACACCATTGATCTGCACACTCCAACACAGAATTGATGTCCATCCACTGTATACATGTGGGTTGTGTCCCTTTCTAAGGCTGTTATTTTGCCTTTTGTGTGTGTGTGTGTGTGTGTGTTTCCGTGCGTGCGCTTAACCCTTCCACACCAACTTTTGAGGTTCTCAGAATGAGGAGGTAGACGAGGGATTGACTTGAGTGTTTTCTAACTCATAAAGCTCGTTTTACTAAATTTATTTATTCATTTTCTTTCTATGCCACCTTTTTCCCAGTGTGGGGACAAAGCAGCTCGCAAATGATTAAAACAAACTAGACTGAAAACACAATTGTTACTGGCCAGATCGGGGTTCTAAAATTCCCTGGCGAGGAATCAGGCATAGACGCAAACAGCGGAACCAAAGTGCCCAGGTTCCAACAGAGCCTTGCCCTCTTTCAAATGTTTCATCTCCTCTCCTCCTACTGTCCCGAATCCCCTATTTCTCCAGAGTCCCCCAAAAGCAGGCAACACTCCAAAAGCATAACTGGAGTCTGCGTAGACATTTACTTGCCGGACCTGGGCCAATGTTAGGGCGCGGGTCTAAATTTAATTTATTTATTCATTTTCTTTCTATGCCACCTTTTTCCCAGTGTGGGGACAAATCATCTCGCAAATGATTAAAACAAACTAGACGGAAAACACAATTGTTACTGGCCAGATCTGGGTTCTAAAATTCCCTGTCGAGGAATCAGGCATAGACGCAAACAGCGGAACCAAATTGCCCAGCTTCCAACAGAGCCTTGCCCTCTTTCAAATGTTTCATCTCCTCTCCTCCTACTGTCCCGAATCCCCTATTTCTCCAGAGTCCCCCAAAAGCAGGCAACACTCCAAAAGCATAACGGGAGTCTGCATAGACATTTACTTGCCGGCCCTGGGCCAATGTTAGGGTGTGGGTAAGTGCGACCAGTTCCACGTTCTGGGCTGAGGTCTGCGGCAGTTGTGCCTCAACCGTATCAGAGTCTACTTAAGGTGAGGGCAGAAGGGTGGCAGCCAATGTTAGGGCGCGGGTAAGTGCGACCAGTTCCGCGTTCTGGGCTGAGGTCTGTGGCGGAAGGGCTTGTGTCTACTTAAGGCGAGGGCAGAAGGGTGGCAGGTTCAGACACGTACTCGTTATGAGTTGTAACTCCAGGGCTATCCAGAAGCAATAATTGATATTTGCTAAGGTGAGCAGTTGAAAGCCAGAGCCCCCCCTTTCGCTCCAGCACCATCGCTACAGCGTGGGGCATATATACTGCTACCAGTTGTCCCAAGTAAAATTAGTGCACCTCCTTTGTGAGAAGGATGGCGGCTGCCACGGCTCACAAGCATGAGGGCCAGCCTTTAGTCACCGTGTCCAACAACTTAGAGAGAGATAAGCTACAGGACTTTGCCAGCTGCCAGTCATCTGCGTGAGGAGTCCCAAGTGCCAGCCCGTCTCACTCATGAGCAAACAATCTGGCAGCCGGAGTGCTGGGACAGAGAGCAGCTTCTGCTTTATGAGCGTAAAAGCCTTTTTTTCATGCATGGAGTATTTTCCACTCTGTCCCCTGGCCCTTTAAAGTACTGTACCTCATATAAAGAGGAGGGTTGCCAAAACAGAAACATTTGAAATCCAGATTTTTGCAGAATCCCGCCATGGCTAGGAATGTACGCCAGCCCCGCTTAGTATCTGGGGGGGGGGAGGACTTGGGAAATAGTGTTCTCCTTTCTATCCATGATCAACTTTCTCTGTCCTTTCGAAATAAAAAAATTTCAAACAACTCACCTCTGTCCTTACAACTTGCGCTTTGTCCTTCGAAACTCTGAAGCCTTCGTATCCTAAAAAAGTTGAGGAGGTCAGTAGAGGATCTCAAACACGTCCTCTGGTCCTCTGCTAACAAGAAGTCATCTACATGCTACATCCTGCATGTATCTGTGGGATTCCATAGTCAAAATAATCTCAAAGCATCTCAAGCCCCCCCCCCCCAAATGTGGAGCTACTTTTGTCTCTCCTTTTTCCGTTTCTCCTTCTGCCTCTGTTTTATTCTGGTTACTACAGGGGAAGCCGAGGGACTCTGCTCCCTCTGGCCTCTACACTTTTGTGTGGAACTGAATTCAACCTCACTCCCCCTCCAAGGTTGCTGCGGGAGAGGAGGAAGGGGAAGTCCCGATACCTCTCCTGTTGCTGAGTCTCACAAGGTTTCCCCTTGCCTTGTGTTTTTCTGTTTCCTTATAGGTCCCGATACCTCTCCTGTTGCTGAGTCTCGCAAGGTTTCCCCTTTCTTTCTCGCCTGCCTTGTGTTTTTCTGTTTCCTTATACAGTA